GATAGAATTAAAGGGTTGTTGATCAAGAAAAGTGACATCAGCGGAAACTAAGTAACGCTTAAGATCGGGAGAATAACAACGATAACCCTTTTGAAGACGAGAATAACCAAGAAAAAGACATTTAAAGGCTTTAGATGTTAACTTGTCCTTACCAGGGGTGAGATCATGAGTAAAACAGGTACAACCAAAGACATGTGGGGATAGAGGATAGAGAGGAACATCTGGAAGCAATAAGTTATAAGGAATGTCATTATTAAGCATAGATGAAGGCATACGGTTGATGAGAAAACAAGAGACAAGGACTGCATCGGCTCAAAAGTGAAGAGGAACATGCATGTGAATAAGAAGAGTTTGTGCAGTCTCAATAAGATTTCTATTCTTACGTTCAGCTACTCCATTTTGTTGTGGAGTGTGAGGACAAGTAGTTTGGTGTAAAGTACCCTGTTTGGCTAAGAAATTAGAAAAGTCCACAAAAACATATTCCTTAGCATTATCACTACGTAAAATATGAATAGAGGCACCAAATTGAGTATGAATTTCAGCAGAAATTTTTTGATAAATGGAAAACAACTCAGAACGGTTTTTCATTAAATAAATCCAAGTGCAACGGGAGAAATCATCAATAAAGGTAACGAAATACCGAAAACCTAAAACAGACAAGGTACGACTTGGACCCCAGATATCTGAATGAACAAGAGAGAAAGGGGCATCAGCTCGTTTATTGACTCGACTAGCAAAAGAGGAGTGTGTATGCTTCCCTTGTTGACATGGCACACAATCTAAAGACTGAAGACCGGATAAAAGAGGAATCATCTTCTGCAACTTTGAAAGACTTGGATGACCGAGGCGACTGTGGATAAGTTGTGGAGATTCTGTGAGAGAGCATGCCACTGAAGGACGAGGCACCTCTAGATAGTAAAGCCCCCGTGACTCACGACCCACTCCAATCATCTTCCCCGTACCCGGATCCTGCACAGAAACAGAATGGTTAGAAAAAGTAATGGTGCAAGTGAGGGAGTGGATCAATTTACTAATAGAAATTAAGTTATAAGGGATGCCAGGAATGTAATAAACAGATGTCAAGGCCAAGGTAGAGGTCGGACGAGCTTGTCCAATCCCACGAACTGGAACTTTGGTTCCATCAGCAAGGGTAAATAAAGGTAAATGATCAGAATAAGTAAGAGATGTAAAGAGTTCCTTATTACCACAGAGATGATCGGTAGCACCTGAGTCAAATATCCAAGTGCCAAGTGATGTAGATGCAGAAACACAAGCAACGGGATTACCAGTATATGGAGCGGAGGGCTGAGACTGAGGAGAAGCCTTCTTGAGAAGAGTTTGAAGTGCAGCATAGTCCGCAAGTGAGAGAGAAACTGAACCAAATGATGCATTGTCTGATTGCTGAGCTATATTCGCAGCAAGAGAGGTGGCCCAATTCTTGTAATTAACAGAACCCTTCAATTTTGAAGAGGTAATGGACCCAACATTGGTAGAGATGATATTGGGAGAATTTTTGACAGGAGAAGGTTGAGAATTGACCTCTGAATGATCAGAATCATTTGCTGCCATAATAGTATATAGGAGATGACCAAATCTGAAACGGAAGAATTTTTTTTTCGTGAACAGTACCTGTACGGACGGGTGAACAGTGCCTGTACGGACGTGATGAACGGTGTTTTGTACGGACGGTGAACAGTGCAATCGTACGGACGGTGAATAGTGCAAACTGTACGGACGAGATGAACAGTATTTTTTTTATTTTTTTTTAAAACCGTGTGAACAGTGTAGAACTAAGCCGGAGGGATGCACGACGTTAGAAGAAGGAGAGAACGCCTAAGCAGTGGGCTTAGGGTTTTAGCGGAAGCGAAAATTCCCAGAACAAAGAGCTCTGATACCAACTTGAATATAAAATAATATGTTGTGTATTGATCTAATTCAGAGAGTTACAATATATAGAGACCCTAATGGACTTAAGTGAAAGGCCCAGACCTAATACAATCAGAATATTTACGGATAGGAAGTAATCTAATCATATCTATTCATATCTAATCATATCTAATCACATCTAATCATTTCTAATCACATCTAATATATTCTAACAGATCCAAACAATAGACTATTACCAAATCAAGGAGAATCATATTTAGATGGGAAGCTAAGTTACCATACACTAAGCAGACATTTGATTTCTTTCGTGATTAGTGTAGCGAGCCAATTCATGCAATTATCGTGTGTTAGATCATTAGAATGTTGTGGTATGAATCTTTCAATATAATAAAAATGCTGAGTCAAGGATTGTTGTATGAAGACAAGGGGTAGCATTTAAGTCGTGGTATATCTAACGTTGATTGGGCTAGCTGGCTTATTGATAGGAGATACTTCATGATTTTATGTCTTTATTGGTAATAATCTTAATCATGGAAAAGCAAGAAGCAGTTACTGAGTGCCTGTTTGGCACAACTTTTTTTTTTAACTTAAAAAGTTAGTTTTAAGCTAAAACTAAAAATAAGAGCTTAAAAAATAAAGCTAATTTTTTTTTTTAGCCAATTAGTTACTTTAGAGCTCAAGCTAAAAATAAATTGTTTGGTAAAATAACTTCCATGAGCTCTGTTTCTAATTAAAATTACTATAAAAGGTATGTAATTAGAAACCTTTATATTATTTAGATAAACACAAACATGATAAGAAATAAAAGACAAATTTATCTTAATAAATTTCTATGGATGCATCAAATCAAAGTAACATTCATGGGGCCTTGCCCCTTTATTGTACCCAAAAAAAAAAAAAAAAGTAACATTCATGATTCTTCCGCTTCTAACTGTCAAAGGCTTCATGCATGATGAACTTAATTCCTAACTACCCTTTCTACCCTTGCATTCTGTTACACGCATCCTTTTCTCCTACAACCATCTCATCCTCACCTCTAACAACACTCTTGTGCTTGTAATACTTCTCCAGCATCAGTACAAAATGCAGTGTTGCCTTGCGGCAATTTTCAGTGCTTAAACCTGCAGCCTCTCTTTATTGTCTGTCTTTCTCTAACTCTATTCAAGAATATAATTTTCTTTCTTTTACATTATTAAGCACCATAACCTATTCTTTGGCACATTGAACCCTCCACAGTTTTTTTGTTAAATACAAATTATAACATAATATACATGTTTAGATGAAAATAAACCAGACAAAAAAAAGTCTTTCCTTGTGCGGAAGTAAGGAGATGAACCAATGGTTACTAGCGTGCAAAATCTCCTCTTGGGGCAAACACTCTTATTGACATTCTCAGCTTTTTGGAGGGGAGGATATCAAATGATTTGTCATTCGGGTAGAGGGTAAAATGTGCAAATACAAATCTAGAATAAGGAGATAATTGGGAAACAAATATGAGGACTTTGAAAAAGCTGACATACATATTAAAAAACTAATTATTACCTTTTTTATTAATTAAAAAAAAACTCTTATTATGATAATAGCTTCTATAAAAATATGTTTGACTAAATTTCTTTTTTTTAAGAAGAGAAGCTAAACAAAAGACCCGCCAAACGGGTACTTAGTGAGTTATAGTTTGGAAACATAGATCATATGAAACTACACTATGATAATCAAACTACTTTACACATTGCATCAAATTTGGTCATCCATGAGAGGAACCAAGCATATAGATTGTACGTCACTTTATCAGGGAAAAAGTTCTTTCTAAAGAAATTGTCATTGAATTTGTTTTCTTCTTTTCAGCTAACTGTATCCTCACAAAGTCATTGTGGGGTCCTCTAATATATTTCATATGTGACAAGCTTGGTGCATATGATCTATATGTTTCAGCTTAAGGGGGAGGGTTGAATAATATCTTCTAATTAGGGAAGTTGATCCTATTTATTTGGTTTTATTTTGTAATTAATATGCAAGGGTAAAATTGCATACAAGGATTGTTTTCACTCCACTCTCGCTATTCGGGGTTTAATAGGGAGTGAATATTTTTATATTTTGTAATTAATTAGATTTGATTTGATTTGTATTTTCCTTGTTATTAGTGAGCTAATTCCTATATATAAATAAGGGGGCTATGAGGAATTTTCAAGCCTTTCACAAAAATCTGTTTGAACAGATACTATTTCAAAATTTCTATCTCAGTTGGCGGCATTTTAGCGCCCAACATTAAGAACCGTAAAGCATCGTTTGTTTTATGTTTGTGTTTTCCTTTGAGCTTGAGAGGTAAATGTCACTCCCAAAATAACATCGATTTCACAAAATTATATAAATTTTGAACTACTAAAGCACTGCCATAGTCCACATCTGAAAGCAAATATAACTTAAGCATTTGAAGATTTAGGGCCTAATTAAGTTCCCAAGTTGGAAATCCATGGTATGGCATGTGCCAAACCAACTAGATAATTGGGTTTGGTTGTTGGATATCTTTCCTAGGTCTTTGTAGGTTTCTATTGATGTCCTCAAAGGTCATAATGGCTGTTGAAATTATAGGGATTTAGGAAGAGAAGTAGGAAAAGAGAGAATAGAGACTTTGAATTTGTGTAGAATGATGTGTTACAAAAGACAAAGCATTAAGATCTTTTTATACTAATAGAAGACTCCTAATACAAATACTTGAAAAAAGGGAATTTTGTATAATTTGAATTGTGTATAATACAAACAAGAGGTTACAATATATAGAAGCCTAATGGGCTTAAAGGAATAAACCCAAATACTAAAACGGAAAGAAATCCTAAGAAGAAAAAGGAAATAAATAATTACAATATCAAATACAGATAATTCTAATCTAATATTTACAACACAAATCATAAGATGTAAAGAAATATGGAAATTATTCCTAAGAGATTATCTACGATCAATAAACTATTCTAACTCTAATATATAACCAAGATATTATTAGATATTTTCTAGATACAGATATGCTAACAATGGTTAAAACTGCATCAATAATGCTCTTATCTTCACATTGTCATCGCCTATTTAATTTATTTAAATAGAGTCGCTATAATTTGCAGGCATTTGCTCAGTTGCTACAAGCTCCTCACGATGATGCAGATTTAATAATGAAGGAGAGGTTTCCTGTACCTCGCCTGGTTGTTTGTGATCAGCATGGCTCCCAGGTTACCCTATTTTCTTTCTTTCCAGTAAACTTGTTAAAAAAGAGGTGGGAACGAGAGACATTCGGAGAATATACATGTCTATACTACACAATAGAGACTAGATAATATAATCAAAAAAGTAAAATGCAGATGTCATAGTTATCCTAGTTACCATAATTACATGATTTACATTGAACCTAAACACTATTTACATGGTTTCAAATAGAACTTATGGTAACACAATGTGGCACAGAAATGGCTTGCTTTGCACTTGTTTATGCATTTCTACTAACCAATTACCATCCTATTTAGAGAAAATGGTAATGGTGTTGTACTAGCGGCTCATATGTTTCTTTCGCTCAGAAAATTCTATAGGTGAAGAAACATATAAACTGCAAATTCTTGTATTTTTCATATGAACAATCAAACATCACCCACCCGTTCAGATGTGAGTGATGTGGATGAGTTTCTGTTTGCTGTTCTGAAACAAGCCGAAGTTCATTTTCTATTTCTCTATTATCTGTCACACTGACTCAGGTCTATATGTACCTTATCTATTTCTTTTGGTTAGTTGTGTGTGATCTTCTGGGAAAGGAATGATAGCACATGTTAAAAATTCAATTTAAAATTCTTATGTGCATTTACAAATAAAATTCTGAAGCTATTTCCTTGATATCAAATTGTCAATTAACTTGCTTTTCAAACGGAATAAGGCTAGCCTAAGAATCAATTTAGATGAGTAGAAGAAAAATCAACAAGGAAAAGTGGTTTAGCTCATTGAATATCAGGTATAGAAATTGTAGTGGAAGCGATGGTTTTAGCATTGTAGTGGTTATGTATATCAATGTCCGATTAATAAAGATTCCTTGGAAATCAAAGAAAGGAAAAAGATCAAATGCTACTCGGTCATTAATGGCACCTCAATTATGATAGTTCTGAGTTGGTTGATGTTTTATCACATTTCTAGAGATAAAAACTAGAGCTTTGTGGGTTGCAATAGTTAGTGTCATCATTCATGGGTGCCAACGGCTTCTCCCAGGGAAGGCTGAGTGGTGGCGCTGATCATTTTATTCGCTGATGATCTTGGAATAGAATAGCTATAAATTTAATTGTAGTTCGTATGCTTCAACTGGTTTTATGCATATCAGTATTTTTGCATTCCGTGACTTTCTCTATTTGTGTTTTTTTGGTAATCTAAGATGTTTGACGATCATGTACATGTTAATAATGTGCAGGCTCGATTTCTACTAGCAAAGTTAAATCCTTCTGCTACTTATAACACGGAAAGTTCTCTTCCTGGAGGGGATATTATCTTTACAGATGATGTTAGCTTCGAGGTCTTCCTGGATCATTTACAGAGATTAGTAGTTCAATAAAATTATAATGTGACCTGTTACTTCTATGTAAAATTTTCCTTGAGTTGCTTCTTGTACATTAATTTCCTTTTAGCATGCGGTCATAATTTCCAATTTAGTGCAAAATCTTGTAATTATTTGAAATTGTGAACTCTCCAATCAATGGCTTGAATATTACATCTCTGTTTTCTGTTTTCTTCACTGTAGCTAAATACACGAGTTTAAAGATTCTCTGGAATACAATATCTGTTCTATGTCGATGAGTTTCCGGAATTATTTAGTGAACAACTAACGACGTTGTCAAAGAGTCCTAAAGGATGTAACCAAAAAAAAAAAGAGTCCTAAAGGAAGTGTTGAATGATTCAATTTGATCGTAGTGGTAAGCGAATTGTACTATTAAGATGATTGAAGTTCAAAATATTAGAAAGGATAATTGTTTGGAGAAAGCCTTTCAGTCATAACAGTGTATGAATTAGTCTCACGTCAAAAACAAATAAATATAAAGATAAAATTCACAATTCCTAACCATAAAAAATTATTTTACGTAAAGTTCACATTTGTATGTTTGACCTTTTATTTTTAACCTTTATAAATCATTGTCAAATATAAAGGCTAAGCTTTTGACAAATGTTGCCTTAAAGAGTTACAAAAATGTGTTACGAATTATAGGCAGAGTAAATACCAAAAAAATAAATAAAAAAATAAAAAATATAGGCAGTGCTAGTATTGCCAATGGCTAGCAACGGCTGACGTTGCCTTAAACTTTACGCAATAGTTTTTTTTACTAATGTTAAAAACCTTTGCCATAGTTAAAATATATATTAGTAGTGTCTATGGAGTGTGAGAATCTTCACCAAAATTGGTAGTTGTTCATTATATGTGATGAGCAACAAGCCCTTCCAGGGGCATACGTTTAAAGTGATGATACTGCCATTAAGGGATATTCTACATTTGTATTGTTTATATCATAGAAGTATGTACGTTATAATTTAAATTGTGGAGCAAATGATCCCAAGTGATTTGATTAGTTAATTGAAACTAATAATGTTAGCAGTGGTATGGTTTCACTATTATTGGGAAGCTTTTATTTTAGGGAAAACTGTTTTGAATTTTAATAAAATGCACGTATTTTACTAGTCATGATAAGCTGTAAGGTGCATAAGGAGTCTACGTCTCAAACATGAGTAGTCAAAGTAAAGAGTGGGATTCTTAGTTTACCGGAAAAAAGAGAGTAGGATTCTTCAATCACCTGATCAATTTTCTTGAAAACAAAGTTGTGTATTTCAAATTATTAATGCGTGTTGCATATTATTTTATGGGATTTGATTTTCTCATGTTGCATGATAATTCAATTCTCATGTTGCGACTTATTTAATGGTGGATCCCATATTTATTAAAAAAAGAAAATGAAAAGAAAAATTTTGCACGCAAATCGAAAGGTCACTAACATGAGAGTTGAATTCTCATACAACATGAGAAAATGTTTCTTGTCTCTATTGGTGTCCTCTCATATTTTGGGGATTGATTTTAGATTTTTTTTTATGGTTGATTTTTTTTAAGGGAAAAAATTACTTTTATGCTACATGTGATAACTTTCTCTCCTACACACTCTTCGATAACTGTGACATCTTTTTTTTTTTTTCAGATGGTGGAACCCACAAATTTATCTCTATGATATGAGATAACTTATCTCTTTTAACATGAGATTAATAAACTTTTTTTAAAATATAATCTTCCTTTCTTAGTAGAAAATATTATATAAACTCCCTCTTCTTTGAAGCCTTTACAGTCATAAACTTTCTCTTTGACTGATTAATCAGAGAGGGTGGAGACCCAATCTTTTGAGTTTTTCTTTCATTTATCTCCTTCTCTCTTTTATTATGTATAGAATATCGCTAGAATCTCATGTGGCGTCATTTCTATTTTCTCGCTAGATTTTATTTGGTGTTCCTTTATACCATGAACTTGTATTATAAATGGATTGCTAGCCTTTTTTGTTTGTGTAACACCCCGTTCTAGAACCGGTTTGTTAACATCAAGTATGACATTAGGCGCAGTTACAATCACAACAATTGAATTAAAGTACGGATAAACTTTTTCATTTTTCCGTTAGTGAACGTTTATATTTAAAATCAAATCCATAATTAAAACAATTCCAATAGTTGTAATCATAACTTAAACGATGTGTGGAACACCTAACATAATTTTATTTAAACTATACGTTGCTACCCTAGTGTGCCAAGTAGTCCCCTTAGACCAACAAGGCTTATAAACTCATTTTTATTGTTATTAAACACTAAACATCTCCACTCTTTATTTATTTAAGAAATTCCTATACTACTTTTATGGTCCCCATCTTCCAATATGTTATAGAATTCTTCATTAGCTACGTGTGGGTTCAAACCGCGCTCAAATCAAAGATCTATAGCTCAAGTTATGCTAATTTTACTAAACTATGTTCATGTTATTTTCGAGATGAGCGTTTTAGCGCCCAACTTAGCGTTAAAACGCCCAGAGGCAGAAAATTTTGCCTTCTACAAGTCTTTAGAGCGTTTTGGCGCCCGACTTGCACGTTAAAACGCCCACTTGAGCGTTTTAGCGCCCGTTTTCACGTCAAAACGCTCTATGCTCATGAAATGGAGGAATAAGTGGTATCAGAGCAGAGCCTCACTTCCAGTACGGTGTGGTTCGAGGACGAACCAGGCGAAAGCTGGTGGGCATGTAACATCCCGAGCGCTGACGAGGGCGGGGAGTGATCGCCGGTGCGAAAGGGCATGGACAAGGAGCGGCTCCTATCAGGCTTCCAGCGGGGGGTTACATGAACGAATGAATCGAATCGATACCCGAAAGAGAGGGATTCCAAAGACTGTGCAGGTATGAGACTTCATAGTTTGGGATAGCTTATAAGAATTAATTGATACTACCTATACTAACAAGATGCATCTGCTTTTCGGTAGTCCAGAACGAAAGAAATCCACAGTTAAGCGTGCTTGACTTGGAGCAATTCTGGGATGAGTGACCTCCTGGGAAGTTTTTCCAGGAAGTGTGCGAGTGAGGATAAAGCATGCTGAAAAGTCTCGTGTTAGTGTGTGGGGATAGTCATTGATTCTTGAAGCGGCCATGCGTTAGAGTTTGGTGTTCATAGTTAGTGCGCACTAACATATTTTGTCAATCAAATTTTATCATAATAGTTTTTTGGCATGGATTAGGATCACATTGTTTACTATTGCTAACCCGTTAGTTCTATTATGGCTATCAACCCACTTTTATATGTAGTTTGTGGTTGTCAATTTATGAGCTTAAGCAATCTGTGAGGACAAGGCTAGAAAAATCTAACAGTTTGAAGTAAATATATAGGACCCTAAGAAATGATGGGTGAACAAGGAGAAACTAGATTTAGTTTGCATTTTTAATGCATGGTACTACTTTTTGTTCTTTATTAGAGTTTTTCAACTTTAATTCAACATAGTTGTTAATATGCTTTTGTCTTTGCCCAAGGTTTATAGGGTAAAAATTAGGAAGAATTATATTTTATGGGTTATATACTTCTTCTGTCACTGCAGATAGGAAAAAGTGCAGCAACACTTATTTTTATCAGGATATGCGTCCGGATCCTGATGTGTTTTTTTTTTTAGGTCAGGATCCGGACACGTATCCTAGTGTTAATAATTTTCTGCAACTTTTCTCATCAGTAACAAAAGGAGAAACGACAAACCCATATTTTATAAATGATTTTCATGCCAATCATGAAAAAGCATGATATTAAATCTAAGGCCGAAATACTTTGGTCTGTTATATTTTTTTTGTCTTTGCTGCCAGTCTTTTTTTATTTGAGTGTAGTGGATGGAAAATAACAATTTTCTTGTTTATTGCAATGCCTCTGCATTTGTACCTCTGGATCTTCTGATGCACGTATTTTAGTTATCTTATATTGTCAACTAAGTTAGGAGAGTTGAACAGTGATCTGGATAAATATTATACAAATACAAGGTCCAAACTAAAAGCTTTTATTATTAAGAAAGCTCATAGTCAAAGAAGGCTGCAAAGCCCATCTCTCCAAGCTGCACAATATTAGAGGCTATCACAGCAAGCAACACAATCTTAGAAGCTCGTGACAACCAGCAAGCTCCTCAATATTAAAGACTCCATGACAGCAAGCTCCTCAACATTTAATCATGGCAGCCATACTACTTTGGCACCAAGGAACCTTTGTCTTCACCATGAAGAAAGGCATCTTCCAAGCAGCACATCGTTCCACTATAAATACATGTATTAACCACAAGGTACATCTTCTTCTTCTACATAATAAAACCTGCTTGAACCGTAACTGACTTGAGCGTCGGAGTGTCTTGCAGGTACACCCCCATCTCGTTCCATAGAAGACATGTAAGAACCCGCACCGTTAATTAAGGTATTTAATTAATTAATTATGCAAAAATAGGAAATGATTCCATAATTGACCCTAATAATTATTTATGAGGCTTAATAATCATAATAAGTGATTAAGAATGCTGAAAGTCGCTTTTCGGAAGAAAAGTGCAGATACCGGTTCTGCTAGTCGGTATAAATGCGTGCCGAAAAAGTATCCCGGAAAATTAAAGTAAGTGCATGATAATTACTAGAATAATATGTAGGACTTGTAAAACGAGTTTCAAGTCCAACTAATGAGAAATGGTGCTAGAAACCGGTACTGGCTTTGAAAAGCGCGTACCGGAAAGGTACTCAGAAAAATATAAGAAAAATATGATAAATCTTAGAAAATTATGTAGTTTCATAATCCAAAGTTTGGGATTAAAATCCTAAGCATAGCAATTAAAGTTAATACTGTGTGCTTAAGTGAGTTTTGGCTATAAATACACTTACTAAGGGCACATTGCCCTAGATACCAGAATTCCTGCATGAGAAGAGGCTGACCAGCTGCTTGAGCACTGTTCCATTAGCCTCCTTCACCTTCTCTTGAGCCAAGTTGGGACCTTTGAGCATTGATCCTTCTCTTTTCTTCTTGTAAACACTTGAGAGCATCATTGTTGAGTGAAAGGAGAGCCTTTTGGTGAGTGTCCAGCTGCTGTGAGAGGTGTGAGAGAGCTGTGTTTTCTGTTCTTGAGGGGTGTGACCTTTTGTTGGCATTTTGATGCTCAAAGATGCCTTCTTGTTGAGTGAAAGACCTGCCTTCTTGTTCATTTTCGTGCATCTTCCTTGAGTCAGACTTGAGGGGCTGTGTTGAGCTCCAAGAGCATCTCAATTCTGAGTTTTGAACCTTGGTATGTTGTACCAACCTTTAACTTGAGTTTTAAGGCTTAAAAATGGAAGTTTGATGCATGTTAAGGTTAAAAAATGATAACTTGTTGTTGGGTAAGGCTTAACACACCTAGAAATGCATGATTAGGTGTATAAAATCGGTAAAAAGGGAACCTTTAAGGGATATCTTCACAAAAATGCAGAAACTGCATTCTGTCGTGAAATATCCGGATATTTGTCGAACAGATATCCGGATATTGGATATCTGGATATGTGAATCTATATATCCGGATATTGCATATCCGGATATGGACAGTGAGATATCCGGATATTGCATATCCGGATATGGTCCCGAGGAATATCCGGATATTCTGGGATTTCGCAGAACAGTAGTTGTGCTGTGTGTACAGTAGCCTATTGGGGGTTTGTGGACCCTAGTTTGATGAAGTTGAACTTCTGTATGTATTGGTCTAAGTCAGAATCATGGGATTAAGGACTTGTGGCTTTGTTAGAAGCTTTAAGACTTGAAAACATAATGAAAAGGCGTTGTCTTTAATTTGTATGCATGTGGTACATGTTATTGATTTATATTTGGTCCATATCAAATTGTGATCTGCTGTAATTGGACTTTGAGCTTGTGGCATTGGATAGCTAGCTTAGAGGTAAGCTTTCGTGTCCTCGGTTTAGCCATGTTGTGGTTCCACTATGTCCCATGGGGATATGGTTATATGCATGCTGTGTTACATGCTATTGATGTTTTAGAAATGCTGTTGAGCTATTATATGTTAGTGCCTTGTTGATATGCATGGAGGTGTTCCACCTATACGGTAAGCCTGAGTATGTAGAACATACAAGAGGGTAAGACTGTGGGTGAGGTGCAAGCGGTGTTCTTGTACTACATGTAGGGAATAGACGTATTCCTACATTTCTCTGGCCAGTAGATAGTGATTACACACATGCCATAGATATCTGTTGCACTACATAGTTTTGGAACTGATAATGATATAAATGCTTTTTGAACTTATATTGCACATGTAGGTGAGCTTGGGGTGGAAGATCCTTGAGGACCCCTTGTCTTACTGAGATTTCTAGTTTAGAGATCTCACCCCACGTTTGGGGAATGCTTATTTCAGGGTCAGGTAATGTTGAGACCTTAGGCGGCAGGAGGCCGGAGCTGAGTTAGATTGCTGTTATATTATACTGCCATGATTGGATGCTGGATTTGCATGCTGCTTTTATGCTTATAGCTTCAGTTTATGTTTTGGAGTTTTATGTTGAGACTTGTTGTTTACTATGTTTATTTGGCGAGCATGGGGATTGTCCATGACACATAGTATTATTATGTCTTGATTATGTCTTGAGTCTTTTGGAGTTGTGATAATGTATCAGGATATTGTCCGGATTACTTGATGGAATGCCGTGATTTAGATACACACTTTATCTATATATTGAGGTATTTCAGTAGATGTCTTATTGCAATTTACATACAGGCGATATTTTATGAAATTGATTAAGTAATGAAGTTGGTAATTGATAATGACGTCATAATTGAAAAGAAAAAGAATATTCCGCATTTTTAATTAAGCACCGCTTAATACGATGTAATGTTAATATTCCGAGTATACACGGGGTGTTACAAGACCCATGTGATGAAGCAACCCAACTGCGAGATGCTCCGACCCAAGACGGTTCCAGGCTGTGTAGAAAAAAATCACCTGATCGGCCGAGTTGTAAAAACCTGTTCCGATCACACAGTTAGGTCATTTTTCCCTTTGTTCTATCATATTTTCCTAACAAGTGATTATTAATATTTTTTGGGTGTTTATGTTTGCCATCGTCTATTGTGTGTGTCTAGGTTTGCCTTCGTCTAGGATTTATTTAATAGAAAAATATTTCTGCATATAAGTTATTTGCATTTACTTCCAAAACGACGCGTTTTGAAATTGAAAAATTAGAAAATTATAATTATAAAGACTATAATAACTATGAAATAAATTAAAATTACAAAAATATCATGATTTTCGCCTCAAAACGACGTCGTATTGGGCTTACTGCAGATAACTTATCTGAAAAAATGAACCAATGCAATTTATAACAGATTTAAATTAATATGCACATAGCTTACCAAAAAAAAAAATTTAAAATGCACATTAGTTTAAATGATTGTAAATTGATATCCAATAATATTTTGATACACTAATATATTAATTTAAGAGAAAAAGAGTTATTAAATAATAATATGTCAAGCCGATGTCAATACTGCTTTGTACTAATAGTAAATATCAATTGAACTCACTATAATATTACATTAACAATTTTTATGTATGACCAAAACTTCATTATTTATATAACAGGTAAGTATTTAAGAAGTATTTTAATTATAAGACATGAATATTTTATATCAGTATAGATTATATTTTCAACTTTAGTCCTTCATTTTATTTATATTTAATGGTTTTAATTTATCAAATATGTAAACCTAAAAATTTATTACCTATAAGTTGTTGATCATGCTTTAATTACACATTTAGATGTATTGGGCTTAGTGGTAGAATTGGAACAGTATCTTAGGTGAGGCCCAGGCCCATCATGCCCTTACAAATGCCTTGTTTAAGCCATTGTTTCCCTTCTTCATAGTTCTCTCATGCCATTGTTTCATTTTCACACCCAATTGCTATTTCCTTGCAAGTAAGTTTACTCAATTCAAGTTCACTGCCTTTGAAATTGCACAATTTATTTTTTACTTTTTTTCCATTTATTTTTTGTTATATATGATTTCAAAATAAATAAATAAATTATTTTACTGGAAAATCCTGACTCAAGTAGGATTTAATATTCGGAGGAAATTGTATTATACGAAATGGGTCATGCGTGATTTTGTAATGTGGGTTTAAAATATGACTAATTGTTAGGGCTTGTTGAGATTCTGAGATTTTGGGATTCATTGTCTTTCTTCTTTTTCTTGTTGAAGATAGGTCCAATTTAGTTTAGGGTTACAAATTAAAAATAATTGTTAGAAATGTACTTGTCTAATTGTGGTTATTCTTTTGTGAATTAAGTAAATTGCTGTTTTCCTCTTCCTTTTCCTTTCCATAGTATTGAATGGAAACTAGTATTATTCTTCACTGATTAAATAATAATAATTTTTTTAATTTATTCATGTAAGATTTTTTGTATATAAACTCAAGATGTAATAATTTCATTGCATAATAATTTGTTTACTGTTGTCTGGTTAGTGGATTTGGAAGCTGTAGCAGAAACTGTTGAAGGTTCTGCTAGGAAAATATCAGCAGTGTGTGAAGGAAGTTCAATTTTGGAACCGTGTGTTGGTATGGAGTTTGAGTCTGAAGATTCTGCCAAGCATTTTTATGATGAATATGCAAGACGGGAAGGGTTCATTGTTCGCCTTGATCGCTGTCATCGTTCCGAGGTTGACAATAGGATCACTTCGCGCCGTTTTTCATGTAATAAGCAAGGTTTTTATGTGAGAGGTAGAAATGGAGCCAGGCTTGTTCATAAACCTCGAGCTAGCATAAGAGAAGGCTGTGAAGCAATGTTGTTGATTAAAGTTAATAAATGTGGAAAGTGGGTTGTTACTAAATTTGTAAAAGAGCATAGTCATCCGCTACATGCTTCTAGTTCTCCATCTTATACAATGATGGTGAGTTTGATCTTCTTCAATTCTTTACATTGAATAGCTAATCCTCTATCTGTTGATAATATTTAAGATTTTTAAAACTGAATAAAGTTGAGTTTCATATTTTACTTTAATCTATTGCAAATCATAGCCAGAAATGTCACTTAAAGTAGTTATTCTAGTTGGAACACCTTTAACTTGTGAAGTGATAATCTGTAATCTCAAATATTTATTGATCCAGTTGATTTTTTCTTTTCTTTTTTGGTGAACTATCCAGTTGATTTTTTCTATTAGACTTTATTATTTACCTTGTTGCGAAAATTTGACTCTTTTGGTTTGGCATTATATGACTATAATATGCTTTATTTAGAGCGCGCTTGGATAAGTTTTTTTTTTTTTTAAGATACTCTCTTTTATGATATGGGTTTTGCTTATAGAAATTTTCTTCAAAAAGTACTTTTTCTAGCTTCTAAGAAAGTATTTAAACTTTTTTTTTGGATTTTTGCTTTTTTTCAAAAACCTTTATCAAATTATCATACAAATTTTCAGACATACTTTTTGATTAAACAAGTAATTTTTTTCTAAGAAAAAACTTAAAAAACGGGACCTTATGATGTTTAAAGATCACAGATTTGTTGCTCTTTCTAGGAAGGTAAAATCATTTGTAACTTTTAGTTCCATTTTCCATATTTTAGGCAGCACGTAGTCTTAGATGACTATTATATTCAACCAGTAGTAGAGTTGCGCGTGTTTCTTTATGTCGTAATGGAAAATGTTGTTATTTCTTGATTCCTGTATTTAAAGATTGTTATATTTTTTTTCAGTATCCTATAACTTATTTATATTGAAAACCACTGACGCATGCTCATTCCTATTGTGAAATATATTCCTTTCATTTGATAATATCAAGAAGGCTGACAATATTAATGAAGTACAACATAGAAAATTCACATCTTAGCTGGTCATTAGTTTTGATTTTTAAGACTTCTCTCATCCTAATTCCATGATTCTGCACAGCATTGACTTGGACTTTCCCTAGTTTACCATAGTCATCTTAGACATCTCTTTCTCAAGAAGTTTCGAAAGTGAAAATCAGGGAATGAATGAAAGGATTTTAGGAAAATTTATTTCCCGATTGATGGTTACACACACAGAGTAAAGCAGGAGTGCTATAGTCTACTAGTTTTTATGGAAGCTACTAGTTATTTTCTGGTTCCCTGTGTAGATTGTTATAATTATTCTTTCCTCCCACTTGGTTACATTTAGTCCTTTCTTTGGGTCCCATTTTTTTTATTATGTCCAAACATGTTCTAAGGCTATACTTTTAGTATATATTATAGGATTTCTTCACAACAGTGGTAAGACTGGCCACAGATTCGAGTATAGGAAACAATCTCTTTGCAAAATGCAAGGGTAATACTGTGTACAATCAACCCTCGTCCCTACCTTCGCAAGTTAGGGAGTTCCGTGCACCAGGTTTGCCCTATAGGATTTCTTCAACGGTCTTGTGCCGCATTAGGAAATTAGTGACAATGGGAAACATTTCCTTATCAGAGATCAGGCCCGAGTAATAGTGGAAGTATAGTTACTCAAAATTACCATTTGCATTGAGTGTAAACTGCACACAATGGTTGAAATGTTCTTCTCATAGCAACTTCACATAAACCTTCCTTTTCATTTCAAACGCATGGGACACCCTTCCAATTATGAATATTGTCTACATGGTGAGCTTTTTAGAAGGGTTTTACTTTTACATCACGAGACAAACATTTGTATGATTGTATCAACATTTTGTATCAACAATTCTTTTATCAGCATTTTGAATTCATGCATTTATGAAATCTTAATAAAACTTTTTTTTCACTAACTTCTAGGATTCAAAGGATAGGAAGATCCAACAACTCACCAAGGAACTTCAGCATCGAGATCTACAATGTCAACAATATCGCAGGCTGCTACTTTCTCTTCTGGAAACTGTTGATGAGCAAACAGAACTTTTATCAAGAAAAGTTGAACTTGTTGTTAACCGTGTAAAACAACTAGAGAATGAAGAGCAAAAACCTTTGGACACTCACTAAATTCCACTCAGGTTTTGTTAGAAAGCAAATTCTTTTTCTTCATGTTTTTAATATTAACTTGGTTCAAATGCAAAGATTTGTTAAACAATACAGAGCAGCTTTTTTTTTTGGTGGGGTGGGGGGTGGGGGTGGGTATTGTTTTGCCAAAAGTCTTTTGTGCAAACCTAATATGATAGCCAGATTCATTATTAGTTAAAAAATAGGGGTAAATGTACTAAAAATAAAATAAAAATAAAAATAGAGGTAAACCTGCTGTAAAGTAGATCTCTTTTGGATTGAATTCTCTCATGTCTAATTTGACATGATCAGTTCATGTGAGAGACATTCGACTGTCTATAGACAGATCAACGGTTATCCTTTCCCTACTCTTTATCCTAATGCTTTCATCACCTGTTGATTTGACTCTAAACAAATGTGGTGGCCACATATGCCTTGGTCATGTTAAACTAGAATCCATTCCAGATGTCTTTTGGTTGATAGCACGTTTTTATTTTCTGCTAATAATTGATCAATCACTCCTTAGTCGGGATGGATGGATAGCTCAAAATGTTGGCTGTCCTGGGTAGGAGTTGCAAGTTTGACATTCTCGAGTCTATTCAAGTGGGTCGGACAATAAAATACCTGTATTTTTATATGGGGTTGTGAAAAAGATTAGCTTGACTCTTATATACTGCATATAAATTCACCATTCTTAACAAGTTGGTTCTTTCTCACTTCTCATTTATTTTTCACTTATATATTTCCATAACCTTTGAAAGTTCATATATAAAATATCAACCATTCAATACTATGTAGTTCAAATGTGAAAATAATAAATACTCAATTACACATTGGAATACTAGTTAAAATATCAACCATTTAAAAGTTCATATAATTTCTTCATTACACATTCATCCACACTCAATACTCATAAAACATCAAAGTCCAAACTTATGTAGTTCAAATGTGAAAATACAATAGCATCAATAAATGTACTTTTTCTCAATTCTTTTTGTGAAACATTTAATCAATCTACTTGGAAGGACCTTCTTAAGTTGCTTGCCAAGAAGATTGACAGTGTTTTCAGCCATCACATAAATGGGAAACTGAATTATCCCAAATACAGTGACAGGGAAAAAAGCAGCACTGTATATCAAAGTTGATGTCCAGTTCTTCCATTCCAATCTAATGGTAAGCAAAATGGTTGCACTGAATGCTAGCATTGTTGTCATCAAAGAGAAGAACAATAAAGCAAACCCCAGATTCAGTTTTCTTGGTAGAGACTTGTGAAAATCCCATAGCTCACATGGGGAAGTGAGAATAGAAAGGAACATGACAACTGAAGCTAGTGAAGTAGCAAGGGCCACAATGTCCATGTTAGTGAAAAAGAGAAAAACAGGAGAACGAAGGAACACAGGGGTACCTCCTTCAGTTCCACCTGGAATGGTGTAAGCTGCAGCAAACACAACAGTGGCAACAAGAACAGCAACAGTGGAACATGATTGAGCTGTTTCCTTTAACCATTTCTGTGCATTTTCAAGCATTTCTTGATGCTCAATGTCCAATACATCTCCTGCTGTTTGACCATCTTTGTCACAATGCATATGGTAGTGATGAGGAACTATTTTTCTCACTCGCTGGACACAATCAAATAGTTATTTCAGGTCATTGCAAGGACATATACATACTACAACAATTTATTTTTTACATGCATATTCAATGTTTCGTAACCTTTCATTCTCAGAATGAGCAAGAAGGAACTAATGGTGTGTATGATATCATTCTCAATTTTTTTTTTTTTTTTTTTAACTTTTAGTCTGAGAAATAAAAATGGTTAAAAGTTGTGTTTGATAAAACTGGTTTAATTATTTGTTTTAAAGGATGAGAGAGGATACTTCACGAATCATTATTTAAGGGTTAATTATCTACTTACATCATACCAACGCAGCTCATCTTGAAGTTGGAAAGCCACTCCTGCTAAGTGTCCTCCTTTGTAATAATCCATCCTTGCAACTTGGTGCAATATAGTACGACCTTCCTTTGTGATCCTTGGAACCAATGATTTAAGTGCTTTTTTTCTCTTTATGATCCTAAATATTTCATTCTGGCGGTGCTTGATTGCCATGTGCAATATGTTCTGCTCATCCTTACTAACATGAGAAATAGCCTCTGGATTCACATCAAGAATTTTCTCAACAATTCCAGTGCTAGCTGCTATGAGTAATGGTGTGTAATTATATTTGAGGGATTCTTCAAAGCTCTCTTGCTTCTCTTGCCTCTTGGATTCAATTTGCTTTCTCCTTTTGGCCACATTGAAAGGAAGAGGTGGCATTGCTATCAATGTCTTTTTATAATCATTATAAGATATTTGCCATGATAAATCATATTGCACTAAAATATCTGCTAGACACTCTGCTAATCTATGCTTCTTTTTTTGCTGCCAAATTTGATCAATTCCTTCAAACTCTGCAATTAAAGTTGGTCAAGTATAAGATTCATAAAAAAGGAATAAATGGTACAATATCAACGGAGGTAGATAATATTGATGCAAAAAGTATAAGATTCCTTTAAAAGTAAGTTATTAATTAGAATAAATAAAATTTCTAGGTATATGAAACATTGATGCAAAATATGAAATGAAAACATGAATGGGGTGAATGGTTATAAATTAACAATGGTATAAGGTAGATAATATCAACGGAGAAAATTAACAGGATTAATCGGATAATATATAAAAAAACATGCAGACAGCTAAAACTAACGGCAACATTGCACAGCATTTCCAAGTTAACAACGTTGCAAGCTAAATAATATCAAATGGAGACAACTAAATTAGCTTATATAGAATTATCCAAAAAAAAAAAAATGAACTTATATAGTTCGCACCTTTTGCAAAGCGTTTCCAAAAACCATAGTTGATCTTTGAAATAACTGCAATTTGTGAATTTTTTTCCAAATAGTTAGAGACATAATACATACACACACATATGCTAGCGTGAAAAAATAAAATAAAAAAACGTTTTGCATGAGTACCTGATTTGGGGAGTATCCTTTCCTCCATTTTACCACTTTCTAAATCTCTCTTATGTTTAAACAACTCAAGGCTTTCACCTTCTTCAATTTCATACCCTTCTTCAGGAAGCACTGTCACCCAAATCTTAACCAATCAAAATCAACATCAATTATATACATTAAGAGTGGAAGAGCTGTGAAAAATAATGCATTAATGCTGCACAACAATATAAAAAAAAAAACATGATTTATTGGATAGGAATTCAAGCAGAAATTTGAGCGAAAATTATATGTTTGGGGTAAGGCTTTTTGAGACTTATGATGTGTTATGGATTCATATGTGAGGCTCATTCGTTAGCTACGCGTGGCTTCAAACCGCGCTCAAATCGAAGCACTGTAGCCCAAGTTATGACAATTGGAAGCAACACAAAAGGGTGTTGATCACAGGCCCCGCGCGCTTCAGCGCGCTACCGGGCGCTCAAGCGCGCGTTATCGGGCGCTAAAGCCTCCATCTGGGCGCTTAAACGCGCGGAGGCAGGAAGCATCAGGTCTTTCAGTGTAAATGGGCGCTTAAGCGCGCGGAGGCAGGAAGCATCAGGTCTTTCAGTGTAAATGGGCGCTTAAGCGCTCGCCAGGGCGCTCAAGCGCGCTATCCTGGGCGCTTAAGCCCCCATTTGGGACGTTTTAGCGCGCAGAGGCAGAAACATCTCCTCCTTCAACGGCTGAGGGCGCTCAAGCGCGAACCAGGGCGCTCAAGCGCTCGACCCTGGGCGCTTAAGCACCCACTCTGGGCGCTCCAGCGCGAGGAGGCCGAAAGCATTGGCTCTCACAGGGGCAGCAGGGCGCTAAAGCGCGCTCCAGGGCGCTAAAGCGCGCTGCCAGGGAATTCCATCACCCTCATTTTTCAAGTCCAAGTCTAGGGAAAAATGCATCTCCATTCTAAACCCCAATGGTTCATGCCTCAAAACTTAATCCTAGCACACATCCAACCTCTCCTCATGAGATTTAGCTAGAATTTGGGCAGCATAACCTTTGTTTTCTCAACGTTTCCCCAATTTAAACAAAAGGTACCTAATTGATTCTCAGCCCAACCAATTCAATAACTCAATACATAACAAGCATGCATATATTGAATTTCAAGTAGGCATCATTTACAGTACATATTCATTACAAATCATGGAACTTAGCTTACAAAACACTATGATCATTCCCTTGGCTCCCATCAACAAAAGAGATGACCAAAGGCATGAGCATAGACTAAGTCCATTCCAATATACCAATCATAAATCTATCACTCATAACCTCAATCACAATCCTCAACCATTACCTCATTCATTATTGCTACTTCTATAACCATTCCTCAATTACTCTTAAACAATCAAACATCAACCAATAATCATCAATCAATCATAACATGTATTAATGCATGAGCATACAATTACTATCATAATTACATATCACATCTCATAAACCATTTCTCCTCAATGGAGTATGGTGGAACACTCAATGGGATCAACCCCAAGGTCCAAAGGTTTACCTTGCTCTTGAGCTTTCCTCAATTGCACACAACCCCAAGGGTTGGTCACTCCACTTGGTCCTTTTGCCTCAATCCTATCAACACAAGGAATACAATCAAACAATGCTAACAATGCAAGGAAATCCATAGTTCCAAGCCTAGATTTCTCCAAACATCAAAGCATACTAAAATAACACTATAAACTCATTTCTACCGATTAAATGTCGTTCCTAGCATTTTTCACAACATACTCTAAGCCTCATTCTTCCTTGAACATAGCCAATCTACTCAACATTTCATAAAAACCCTAAAACACTATTCATTAAACCCTAACCATGAAATTTTCCAAGAAAACAAGGTTCAAGGGTTAGAATCTTACCACCAATGGTCACACAACCAAGGATTGATGGCTCCTCAAGCTCCAATGGAGGTTGAAGCTCCCAAAACCCCAAACTCTCACAAAGGGGCGAAAATTTGAGAGGAAAAATCTCACAACACAACACTCCCCACTAAGAACCAAGCTTG